GTCAATTCGTTCCGCAATATATAATTCTCTCTCCAATTATGTTTCAATCTTTTACTGTCGTAAGTTTAACGTGTTCATGTAATCAAATTTGAAAATTAACGAGAAATCCTGTGGTTTTCTCATTGCGTCATATACTTATTTTTTATATTAAGATTTTCCAGCGTTATTCGTTCAATTTGTGCATACTTCAGTCGTTTAACTACATTTTACAGTAATGTATTTGAGGTCAGGTAGAGAAAAATTAAACCATCAATTTTTTAGCAATTTATTTCCTTTTCAGTGTATTAGTCGTCGCGAATCGGGAAAAGATGGTTAGAAACTACGTTACGAAGATTGGCCATCGAGTGTATAAAAATTACACAAAAGAAACCTTTCAACTGCACTCCAGCGAGATAAACGGGACCAATTAACTTTAACGTATACTAAAGAAATTTATAAAGTTTTATACTGGTTTCTTATTTTTAACCCTTTGAACATGGAGCCATTTCGACATATGGGCGAAATTTTTCTGACCGTGCGGGCAATATTGGACCAAACGCCGGGCGCCTTTAGGCGCTCTTTGTACCCAAAGGGTTAAGGAGAATGAAATGTATTTTAAGACATTCACAAAGACCAGCATTTACGTTGTCTTTCATGAATTTCTTTATGTTGTTTTACTTCTGCGCGAGAAACAAAATGAGTAAATTCAACTCATTTTCTGAGTTAAATATAATATATAATAATATATAATCGAAAATGTGTGCTCCGAGATGACCCGATTGTGGGTCCCGGCGAGGGAAAGGACGAAAGCAGCGGTGATCGACCACGCGAAAATTGTCTGGGAAGAGCTACGACTAATCCCGGAGTTTTTCGAAAATTTAATCGATTCGATACCGAATCAATTAAAACAGTTGGTTGACCAGTACACGTTCTAGACGGACTACTAAGGACTGACAATAAGGCCCTTTTCAGGGCCGCGAAAAATTTACTCGTAAAACAACCGAGCATTCATGCAAATTATAATTAATAAAGAAAAATTGACCTTCCATTCCCAAACGCATAAACTTAAATAAAGACGCATAAACTTAAACTTAAAAAAAATAAATTCTTCCGTTTCCAACAAATCACATTACGAATCAACAGGAAATTTTGTGCCATCCAGTTTTTTTAAACCCGAATATACAATCTGCTATTAGAAATACCAAGTGCAACCCTTTCCACCCCAGTATACTTTAACTATCCACAGTTGGTAATGGCCTGTATTGTAATCCGTCATTCAAAAACGGGTGAAGACGTATAAACCCCGGAAGGGGTATAATCGTTTTATTACCTTGCGGGGGTAGGTCCTTTTCCCTGTTTACCCTGTCGATGAACACGGCGAGACGAGCACCGATTGGCGGAAAAGGAATAAATTTTATAAATATGAACAACTGCAATAACGTCACACGTGGTCAATCAGTACGATTTTGAGATGGTTATGTTAGCAATATTTATTTATTTCCTTTAACAAGTTGGTTTCAATTTTAGATACATGATAAATATCCTTGAATGCCATTAAGAAGTAATTTATAGGGTTAACCATAGTTTTGATATCATATTTCCTGTAGATGCCCCAACAGACTCCAAATTGGGGGTCAATAAAGACAAAAAATTAGAAATATTAGGTCGACACTCAAGGAACAAGTTTTTTTTTTCCAATAGAAAATAAAATCTGCTATTAGGAACACCACGTGCAACCCTCATCAAACATATGTTTTCTCGTATTTTGTAGTAAGCCGAAAAAAAAAGGAGAGTAAATTCATTTAATTTTCTGCGTGAAATGTGGCGAACTCAATAAACCAGTTAACTCAATTTAGATTTGGAGCTATCAATTCTGTTTCAGTCAAGTTTGGAGTTGATTCAACTACAAAATGTGATTTTGCAGTAAATGTAAGTTGAACCAACTCGCTTATTGAGATAGCCATATTTAATTCAGAAAATGAGTTGAATTTACTCATTTTTTTCCCACGCAGAAGTAAAACAACATAAATCTAGAAATTCATGAAAGAAAACATAAATGCTAGTTTTTTTGAATGTCTTAAAATACATTTTATTCTCCTTAAAAATATGCAGCCAATATAAAACTTTATCAATTTCTTTAGTATCCGTCAAAGTTATTTGGTCCCGTTTTTCTCGCTCGAGTACAGTCTGAAAGATTTCTTGGGTGTCATTTTAGTACACTCGGTGGCCAATCTTCTTAACGTAGACATATTAAATAAACGTAAACAATTTAATTTCATCTGTTTTTACCAATGTGGTGTTACGGGGCGGCCGAGCGGATGCGAGGCCGGGGTAATTCGGATGGAGATTACCCAAATCTTGCGAGTAACGTTTATTTCGCGTTTGTGAGGAGATTGATCCGAGCGGCTAGATCAGTTCCTCTGGTGGGATCTAGGGGAGTGAGGAATAAAAAGGGGGTGCGAACGAAAGGCTATGTGGCGATAAGAGTTGTATTTATTCGTACGCGAGGTTTGAACTACAGTCAGCTGTAAGGAGCACACGAAGTGCCTTGACCTAATTTCTCTGGGTTAGTATACTTCCGCGTCGCGGCGGTTCGGGTGTCGCGATAGCGCGCTCTAGCGGCGGCAGGTTACTGGACGCCGGAGTGCTGACGCGGGAATTCTTGATATTTTAATGGTGGTCTGTGCGTGATTCTATCTCGCGATACTGAGATTCGAGTTCAGCTGTTAAAAGAAAATTGATGGGTTCTTAATCTATCCGGTTAACCGGAGCAAGGCATGGAAATCGCGATAATGGTTAGTATTCGGTTTTGGTCGGAGATGAAGGGTTAATAAGTAAACTAGAATGAAAATGAGGATGAATCGAACTTGCGAAGGATCCTCTACCTGGCTTGTTCAGCGGCCCTAATCGGTGACAGTCTCTTTTGATCGACCCGGTCGGATGACAATGCGTGAACACCTTCGTCTCGTGGCGTGCCCTATGGTTGGAGGTCTCCTAGAAACCTCTCGTCCAACGGAAGTCGCAGTGCCGCCGTCTAGTCCTGACTCGGTGGCTGGATCGCTGGAGTACCGGATGGCGCTACTGCAGCTCGCAGGATAGTGGTCCTTGGCAGGGAGTCCAATGATCTCGGTCTCTGACTCGCTAGGAACGGAGTACCGGGTCCAGGAGCTCCACTCGAAGTTTCGATGACGACTGACGCTGACTTATCATAAATTGACTAAAAGACTGACTAGCTCTGACTTCTGATCGGACTGCTGGTTTTATTAGCAGGATATTCCAATTGGTGGGGATTTCCTAGGGCGCATGTGAGGGTGGACTTCTGAGTCGTGCTGATGCGTTGCGGAGTCGTCAGATTGTTTGCCCCGGGTCGGTCGATGACTTTTGAAGCCGTTTGGCCGATGAACTCGTTGGATCCTTTCGCAAGAGTTTCGCGTTTCTGTACTCGTATTTCCATGGCTGACTCCGGTTAATGAAAAAATAGGTTTTTTCCCTATTTTAGGGTATGGAAGGTACCTACGTAACAGTGGCTGTTTCGAGTTACGCGTGATGTTTAACTTTTTCGAGAGTTGATTCAGTTGATAGAACAAGTATCATTCTTATCGACTCTTTTCTAATATTCTCATTTCTCTGGAAGTATTTAATTTCAAACGCAAATAGATTCAATATCTATTTAAAATTGGAAACCCATAATAGTTTATTGTTCTTATTTCAAATACGAAATGGAAATGGGGTTTGGATACCTATTTCGAATGAAATCAATTTATAAGAGTTGCGTCCGATTTGCGTTTATAAAAAACTCGGATAAGAAAAGTCTTTCTTATGTTTACGGATGCTCATTTACATGCTCATTTAATGATTTACAGGTGTCCATTTATTCGAGTAATACGAAGAATGGTGTAGAACGTATATATATAAGAGACATGAAATTACGTTTCCTTTCTATGTCCGATAGTTGATGCATCGTAAATTTTCCTGCGGTATTTCACTGTATATATATTTAGAAACTGTTTCTTTTAAGCTAAGATAATATTCTAACTTCGGTTCAGTGAATGGAACAATTGAATCGCTAAGAAACTTGTTAACATTTAATAGAACATGTTCTATTATATTCTTTATAAAATTCTGTAAATTATCATTTAACAAAAACTACGTTAGGTGGGTCAGGAAGCTCCACAATAATACTAAAATAATTTTCATTAATTATTTTTGTTTAGAAATATTTGTTTTCTTTAGGAAATCCATTCTGCCCCTCGAGCGATTCAAATTCCGCGCTGCTCCCACCGCTAGTACGCTGCGCGGCCGGAGAGGGCAGTGCGGACCAGGAGGAAACCATCGACGCAGGCCAGTGTATGAAAGGGGTATATTGGTTCTGATTTTTCAGGCTACTGATTGTCTCAGCTGATTGGCTAAGGTTACTGACTGGCTCATAAGAATGGCTTACGTCCATGGATTGGCTCTAGAAAGCGGCAAGTAATTTTGAAAGCAATTTCGATTATTTTTTTATAATACATGAATTATAAGTTGAAATATTCTGTCCTGTGAATCAGAAGTTCCTTGATCAATATTTTTCATTCTAGGTGAATTTAATATGAAGGAGTATGATGACCTAATGAAATAAAACGTTGAATGAATTTATCTGTGTAACCATATCTCAGCCAATCAGGAAGCTAAGCTTTTGGCCCCACTTAACTACCTTACCATTGTGTGTACGTGTTCCCCCCTTACTTATTTTGGCACTCGCCGGTCTGGCTTGGGCTCCGTGCGTATATTCTTACATCCATAATACAAACGGTGCTCACACATTGGTTAATTTGGAAGTGGAACTGCGATGAAGTACCATCCATCGCTTCATCTTTCTTAGACTAATGCTTATCGAACTTCGTGTGAGAAGGATGCAGGAACATCCAAATATATCTCTCTCTAGAACAAGCTCGCCGTGTATTCTTAAGCGTGTCGAGCATTCTAGTTTACTATATATACATATTTCGGTGCACATATCAGTGCATCCCTTGCATTCGTGACCAAAGTTACGAATCTATCACTTTTTATAAATCGTTGTCCGTGGTATAAGGCAAAGAAACAAATTTAGTTCTGAACAAATATAAATGTTGATCTCAACGATGGGTGAGCTATGAACTATTCGTTAATTAAATGCTTAAATGAGTCCTACTTAAAATGTCTGGTTAGTTGGATCTAGAGTTCGGTTTGGCAGTTTGAATTTCTAATTTCACTTTACATGGGAAATAGGAATGAGTTTTTGGTAATATATCTGACTAGAAGTTCTAAGAAATCCAAAACTTCCCTAACTCCAAAGAAATGGGGTTTTCTACGAGTTTGCAAGGGCAATCGTCTCATGAGGCTCTACTTGGAAGACAGGATGCAGAAATTAAATTATTGGAAACCATGCGTCGATGTCTGACTAATAAGGTCAAATCTGACCGAGAATATGCTTCAACGATTTCTTCTTTAACTTTGCAAGGGAAAAAAATCGAACGTGGAGAAGATCTTGTTGGTAGTTTGATTGTCCAGGTAATTCGTGAAGCTAGATTTGCAAAGACTACAGTGTAAAAGATCATTTTATTGTCTAATAGTGAATCATTAAAATTTCTCATTTTAGAGCTGGAAGGATATCATGGAATCTATTGATCAAACCGCCAAACTTATTAAACAACAAGCGGATTGCATGGAAAGCATTGTAGTTGAACACATAAGCAGCCTACATTCCGAAAGACGACGGGCCCGTAAACTTTATCAAGAGGAACAAGCTTGGTTGAATAACCAATTTCTACAGGTATTGCAGTCTATAAAATGTTTTCTTAAAAATTGTCAGTTATGTCTTAAAACCTGGTTTTTATTATATTATCAATGAATATTTTAAAGTTTCATATTTTATTATTATTAATAGTTAACTGAAGATGTTGCTCGGAAAAAGACCGAGTACCAAAAGCATTTGGAAGTATATAAACTAATGAGATCACGATTTGAGGAACATTATATTAAATGTAAGTACAGTTTTTTTTATAATGAACCAAAATTTATTCTTGTCAGTGTAATGATAACCTGATGATTTCAGCTGGCAGAGGTGGTAGGAAGTTGGATGAAGTTAGAGAAAAATATCAAAAAGCATGTAGAAAACTTCACTTAACACATAATGAATATGTGCTTTTACTTGGAGCGGTGACTGAATGTGAGCATGATCTAAGAATGTGTTATTTACCAAGTTTGCTTCAACGTCAACAAGCCATTCATCAAGAATTTATAGTAGTGTGGTAAGAGTATTGACAATAAGCAACTGCCCCCAACATTTATTTCAAAATGTAATCATAATCTTTTCGGACAATTGGTCTCATTAAATGGATTTAATTATTTTACATGCTGTCAGTTAATAGTGGATAAGGTAATTATTTTATAAGGATATTTCTATGATTCATCAATATAAAATATTTTTTATTTATAGGAAAAGTATTCTTCAAGAAATAGTGAAGTATTCAAATTTCACAGCAGAAAAATTTTTAGAAATTCACACCCGAATGCAAAAAGCTGTTGATACAATTAAACCTGTGGATGAGTATCGGGATTTTATTGGAAAACATAGGTAAGTAGTATAACATCAGATGATTATCTATGCACATTGAAAATCCTTAGATAATGATATTTGTTTGACACATTTTTAATTAATTAGAACAAGACCAGCATCACCAATTAGATTTGCTTTTGACGAAAACCTTGTCGATGATACATCTGGAAAATTGCTGCCTAACAAATTAACTGTGGATAACTTAACAATCGATTGGTTACGAAGTCGACTCAGTGAATTGGAATTCTCTCTTAAGGCAACACAGCAAAATCGGCAAGCTACTCAGAATTCATCTGAAAGTAACTGTGATTCTAAGTATGTCTTTCAATTTGAAATAGTATACTTTGTATAAATACAATATTTTGAAGCTGTAGTATATTAAATATCATTTAATAAATAGGATGTCAGTTCTGGACTACTCAAGAGAAAGAGAAGAATTAAGGCTACGCTGTCAGGAAAAAAAATTACAGAGGCAAGCAGAAGTGATCAGATGTGCTCTCAATGAGCTTGGTTGTGAGGAATTGCCATCAGGCTGTGATCTTTCTGTAGAAAGCTCTTTCGCTGAACCACCTCAAATAAATAAGGTAGCAGTACTGATAATTGTAGCAACATGTGCATTATCCCTTTTCCTTAATATTATCTACACCATGACTTCTCATAGTTTTTTTCTATCCTGCACAATTTAACATCGTGATTGCAGAGAAATACAGTTCCAGATACTGGACTGTTTACTCTGAGAAGAAATCAGCGGTTCATGACATTATTAAAATCACCCTTCAAGTCATTACCGTCAATACATAATCCAAAAAATGGAGTAATTCGGGCCAATAGCGAAGGTTCAACTCCTCAGCCTATTCCTGCTCCTCCGGTTGTATATGCTGTATACCTTGTGTGCTATTTTTGATGTGTGTGTACTATAATTGTTTTAAGGTTTTTTCTGCGCTTTAAGGAGCCTTGATACAAAAGCCAGTTGCTGAATCAGTTGTAACGCCCCTTTTCGAAAGCATATGAACTTTTTTGCGAATCAGTCTACGTTATTGACGATAGTGATCGTTACTTTACAATGTTATCACATTATTGTCAACTGACGATTTACCAAGTATTTTTAAATTCTTGAGAAATTAAGTTTGAGTAATATTACTGAAAATGTTATGGTAATTTAAAAGTCCATTGAGAATATAAGAGACTTTGAGAATTTATATTTAAAGTAATTTCGAAAAATAATTTATTACTTTTAATAAATACAACTCATAAAGTTAAAGTACTTTTTTTAAATAGTGTCCCTTTAAGGTGATATGAAAGCCATATATACATACCAAAAAGTCAAAATATTTATAACACTTTTCTCCAAACAGGGTGCATCAAATTATGTAAAACTTTAATACGTGATTATGAAGGTTCTAAGGAAGAACGCGCTGCCCATAAAATTTCACTTTTCGAAAAAAAAATTTTTTTTTTTGGTTCTTGTCGGAGATAAGTACAAAGTTTTTTTTTTTAAGTTATTTCATGAGCAGCGCGTTATTCCTTAAGGTCTCCGTAATCATGTGTTACGGTTTAAGATAATTTGGTACACCCAGTTTGGAGAAAAGTATAAATATTGCCTCTCAGGCTCCGCTCGAGTTGTCGAATCATATCCAGTGGTGCCTGAGAGGCACCTCTCGAGTGCAAAGGATTAAACCTCATTATGTGATTATGAAGACCGGAAAGAACAACGTGATATGCTCATGAAATTTCATTTTTCTACCAAAAATTATTTTTATTTAACCTAGACTAGAACCAAGATCACATTTTTTTCTGAAAAATGAAATTTCACGAGCATCGCGTTCTGCCTTAGAGCCTCCGTAATCACATACTGAAGTTTCCAATGATTCGGTGCATCTAGTTTGGAGAAAAGTTTCATAAATATTTTGACATTTTATATATATCGAATGACTTTCATATCCCCTTAATTGTGACTTGCCCAATTATTGAAAGTTAAAAAATTCTGGTATCCGAAGTTAGAAAACTAAAATCTTTAGAAACACAATACAAATTTTCACGCAGTATAATGATCATTTCAACAAACTATTATTGATTTGTTAAAATTATTGAAAACAATTTGAATATTATTAAAAAGTTCAATTCTCATAAAATCGCAGAGAATTAAATCATCGGTTATATTACCTGGGTAATATAAAGCACTAAATACTTAAGGTTACTACGCTGCCAGTGGTACATTTCGTCACGCATGAATTGGCCTCTACTCCTCAATCTCTTGATGTCGATAGATCCCCTGGCTCCTTTACCTCTTGGACAATGACACTTCCAAAATCACTCGAATTTGCTCGGTCTCTACTCGGCGATTACTTATTGTTGATACATTCTCTGCCCTGTTTCCCTTTGACCAATCTTACTTTCAAATAGTAGATTCTCGAAACCACAAACGCTGCACCATACGATTAGATTTCGCAATCGAAGCAGTTACTAATAACATTTTTTACAATTATAATTCATCAATAGATCCATTTCTATTAATATTGGCATTGCAAGGCTAATTTATATAAACAATTATTATTATTAATTCAGATAACAATTACGAATATTTATTAATAATGAGTAAAAAATGCATAACATTGTAACGTCTTTTCATGCGTGAATGGGTAGTATAAACGATTTTTATGAAAATGAATAGTTCACAAAAAGTGTTACCACGAATGTGTACTAATCGATAATAGATTTATAAAATACGGTGATATCTTGCTTAGAAATGGAGTATTCAAATAGACCGATTGTAACATGAACTTCGATCCGTATATAATAATTTGAGATCGGATCGACTTTTGAGTTTACAATTTTGAACTTAGCGGGTTTCATTATGGACAGATCGCATGTCCTATTCATGATATAACATATGGACCGCTCACTCCCTATGCTTGTATATCGCTGAATGGGTCTAAAGCGGGCTTTAGACGGTGCTTGTTTTCTTGCAGAATTAATTCCTTGGAACCATGTGAGCAACTGTGCAGGGAGCTGTGTGGGCTGCCCTACAGGTTTTCGGTGATTGAATGCCTGCTATTTTCCTTACATGGCTTCATGCAGGCTGAGATGATGACCCAATCAAAACCTCCGATCGGTTTGCCCCGCCATGAAGGACCAATGACACGAACCGATCAGAGGTTCTGTTTGGGTCATTGTCTCAGCCTGCACAAAACCATGTAAGGAAAATAGCACGCGTTCGATCAATGAAAACCTGTAGAGCAGTCAGTATAGCTGCTTGCACTGCTCCAAGCAAACAATCCTGCAGTAAAACAAGCACCGGGCGGTGTTAAATTAAGGTGATATGAAAGTTGCCAAGAAATTTAATCGACGTCCATAAATTAAAATTCATCTATACCTTTTTGGTGCTAATGCCATTTTGAATACTCAAGTGGTAATATAAGCCGACGCGCCACGTGACCGACATTTGTATTTATTTTGATGTTTGTGACACTCTACGTTGAGAATTATACGAAATTAAGCTTTCCTTAAGTTCAGTAGAGCTTTCCTTAAGTTCAGTAAGCATTCCTTAATTTCAGTAGAATAATTATAAAGAGATCGAAGTAAAACTGTCAAAATTCCGTGGATTCGTGATTTTTGATTCTCTAATGGACCGATGGCGCCATCTATGTATGATGTTTAGCTGCAACTTAATTTTTTCTTTAAAAACACTTGTTACCCAAGGGACCAGCCAGCATTTTTTATAATCGTTCTTGATAGTATTTTCCATATTTTCCCATCTGATTCTGTAATATTCTATTTCTATAGTAATCTAAATTGTTCGAGCTAGGTCCTTAAATTTTACATCTTTGATTTTTAGTCTTCAAAACGCACAAAACATGCAGGGATCACGTTATGTTAATTCTAGTCCGTGATAAATAATTTTTTTATAAAAAATAAAATGAGTTTTTGGGCCTCCCTTAGGGCCTCCACATTTACGTGATAAAATTTGAAACGAATTAGTACATCCATTTCGGAGAGTACTTTGACGAACGATTTGACACCTCGGATTTATATAGACTGATTCTTTCATATCACCTTAACAGTACGATCAGAGAACGACAACTGTCACGATCGAGTCTATGCTTGCTATGTAACAAGAATGGGCAGTGAAGTAATTTGCGTTTCTTACATTCTTGTTATCCAACTATCAAGAACTTACTGCGCATTAGACCAGCGCAGACGAGCGTAGACCCGATCACGATAGTTCTCGTTCTCTCACCGTTCTGTCAGCGGCACATAATGTGCGGTTCATATATATATTATCAAAGAATTCAGAAGCTATAGAAACCCAGAAGGATACGGACGTTTAATGCTCGATAAATAATATGTTAGCCAACGGATGGCGGCGCTGTAATCATCTCTCCATCTCTCTTAATCTTACGGCGATATATAGCGGATTGCATTCTTTCTTTATCTTACACATAGTACTCACCTTTCTATATGCGTTTCTCTTACTTCTGTATATGAAATACCGTTGGCTAACATGCTAACTCTCTTTTACCCACATCCCTGGTTTGCTAGCCGACTTTTAGACCATCAAACGCTAACATAGGATCTGAGCTACGGAACTTCTGAATTCTTTCATATTATACGTCCATGATCTTATTATCAGATTCGGGCTGGAAACGACAAACGACGAGACAAGCGACAACTAATAAATTATCAAAACTGCGACCGTCACTGCGGAAAAATCGAACGGTATCATTGGTTACCGCATGCTCCTCATTGTTGTCTCCGATTTGAATCCGGCAATAGGACACGTGGCTTCTCCATAATCGGAAATCTAAGTTCAAGATGCTAGACTTAAGAACCGATCCAAATTATGAGATGGACACAAAACAAACACAGTTTCAAGTTAGTAGTAATGATAAATTACTCTGTGATACTGCTCGTAACGCAGAAACCGCGATTTAGGTGAAATTTAATTACATTCTATATTTAAACAGAAATCCTTAATTGAATAATTATGGATGGAATATATATTGGGATTTGTATCTTTTATATGGTGGTTTTTTCTTTTATTTATATGGTAATTTATCGCGAACGGATCGAAGTTTATGTTATAATCATTCGATTTGAACACTTTTTTTAAGCATGATAACGCGGAATTTTTTTAATATAGTGTCGATTAGTACCCTATTCGTGAACCATTCAATTTCATAAAAATCATTCATACTATCCACTTGCGCCAGAAAATTAATTACAACATTATAGAATTTTTCATCCATTATTAATAAGTATTTATAATAATTATTTGATAAATTATTGTTTACTATAATTATCATACAATACCAGTATTGATAGAAATCGATTTAATAATTAAATATAATTTAAAAAATCGTATAAATCAATACTTCTAATAAAGAATTTGATTGTATGGTGTAGCGTTTACGGTCTCGAAAACCTACAATTTGAATGTGACACAGAACGAGGGGGAACGGAGCAAGAAGATCACTCAAAGGTAAATGAACGCCGAGCAGAGATCGTTTTGAAGAAACATAGATCGAGGCATAACAGGGCGGGTGGATCACTCAAGTATTTCAGTTTTCAAGCGTCGAGAATGAGAACCACTATCTATTAATTGTAATGATAGCTCAGGTCTCAAAATGACTTTTTTGATGCGCGGCAATTGGCGTTGTTTGCATGCGAAATTTTGATGGACTAAAATAACCCAAACCGTCATGTCAAATATACCGACTATGTCGTAATTTTTCAACGTAATTAATTTTTACAATACATCATATACATACTTAATTTTTATTTTGATAGATTTCCTTTTTATATGTCTGCGGCGCATCACTCAAAAAGAGGGGAAAAGTACAGCCCATCAGAAATTAATTAAATTTATCGTTGGTAAGGATGAAATCTAAAAAAATGTATTATGATTAAAAATGAAATGATGCGCCCTAGATCTTCCAATTTTAGTCTCACAATTCGATCTGTATGTACCAATTATGTATCGTTTAGATTGTAAGAACATTGAAAAATTTATGCCAACCAATTAGGTACCGGTATTACCGACCTGGTCAGTATCAAGACTGCTTAATTACTGTCGTGTTGTTAAAGAGGAATGGTACATAATTTTTCTTTGCGTGCGTTTTCACACCTACGACAGCTGGAACGGGGAAAACTTCGCACACAAAAATGTTAGTGTAGGATGCTTTGAATAATTCGAATGGATGAAATCGCAGCCTTCCGAAAATATAATTTTCCTTGTGGTGCCAGATTTTCAAATTATTTGTCAGAAAAAATGTAAATTTTGAGTAAAAATCCGTACTGGCAGCTCACAAATCTATCATAGCGGCCAACATGCCTTGTACTTAGACCATAAATATCTAGACTTCGCATTGCAGTGGAAGGGGTAAACTTAAATGTCCGCGTAAACCGACTACTCACCTTCACAGTTAAAGCCATCCTGCTTACTGAAAATTTGAAAATGGGAAGTTCAATGCCAGGTCTATATACATGGTCTAAGGACTTGTGTTGTTACTCGTTCAACGCTTACGATACTTCGTTACAGAGAACCACTAATGAAAGTTAAAAACAAAAGGACCACGCAATGAATGTTATATACTCGGCAACTTCACACTCTATGACTGGGAATTGCCGCCAAATAGTAAAACTCCACATTTTTTATGCGAACATGCAAAGTTGTCAACGAGGACACCTCCTTCGCATAAAACTTGAGCAAATTTCCGCTAAGTATGCTAGTTATACGTCGTGACGTTATGCGTTGTAGAAGATGCGCAGTGGGCGACTGGCAGAAACCTTAAGATCTTATTGTTAGATATCTAGACCTCGCATTGCAGAGGAAGGGATATATTCGAATGTCCACGTGTGTCGACCGCACGAATTAGTGTGCATCGTGTACGTATAATGATCAAATCTTACATCATATATGTGTAGACTTCGCATTGCAGTCGAAGGAGTAAACGAATATACCACGTGAGCCGTTCGCTCGCCCACACAGTTAATGCAATTCTGCTTAGTGAAAATTCGGGAGTGGGAAGTCCAATGCGAGGTCTAGATATATGCATATGGTCTAAGGTAGAAACAGCGAGCTACATCACCGTACTTGTCGGGGCCTTTGTAGAATTTCTTATGATACGCAATACGTACACGCATCATGAAAATGCACAAAACTTATAAATTTTTGTTGTTTTTTTGTTGTGTAGTACAATCTCGATAATCTCTAATGGATTCTTAGTAACGAAGCTTCTGTTTTTTTATGTGAAGTATGACATTTTTATTGAGGTTCAGCGTCGGATGACTAGACGTTACCGAGAAGGGAAGTTTGATATCAAAATCGTGGTGCCGTGACTTCAACGGCACGACACAGCAACGGCGTTGGTTACGTCTCAAGAATTGGCACTGCTTGCCGTTTCATGAGAGCATGGCACTCGAGCTTTTTTTTAATCGTACCATTCCCCCTTAACACCTTAACGATGGGACATTTCTTTTTGCGTTTTTTTTTTCTTGCGTATTGCTTCATCCGGCATTAAGCTGTTTGAAGACTTATGTTCCAGCAAGCTGATGTTTTTTCACATAATATATAATAAAATGATGACATCTTGTAATGCCGTAATTTTTTTAGAACTCTTGAGAAAGAAATATTTCCATTTTTTAAGGCATGTGTTACTTAATTTACTCTCAATTTACTATTTTGCAACCTTGCTGATATTTATTCGTTCAAAAAAGGTTCCATTTCGCGGAGTCTCCAGTCCGATTAATAATCAAAAAGGAAATGGAAATGGCGGTTTGATGGAGGAAGAATGGTTTCACGGTGTTTTACCAAGAGAAGAGGTTGTGCGACTCCTGGTCAATGAAGGAGATTTTTTAGTGCGAGAGACTACCAGAAATGATGAATGCCAAATTGTCCTTTCCGTCTGTTGGGATGGGCATAAACATTTTATTGTTCAAACCACACCCGAGGTAGCATAATTAAATATGGATTTTAAACTCGTCATGACCTCTCATTTAATCACTCCAAATATGTGTGGTTATAGGGACACTACAGATTCGAAGGACCAACATTTCCTTCTATCCAAGATTTAATTCTTCATCAATGGCAGTCTGGTTTACCCGTAACTAGTCGATCCGGCGCTATACTGAAAACTCCTATTTTAAGAGAACGATGGGAACTGAATAACGACGATGTTATTCTTTTGGACAAAATAGGCCGAGTATGTAAAGAAATCAACATGTCTTACATACATGTCATTTTCAAACAATTTTGTTCTAATTAACTACCGACTGTGCATAGGGTAATTTTGGTGATGTGTACAAAGCTCAGTTGAAAACGTGTAAGACTGACGTGGCTGTTAAAACATGCAAAGTAACATTACCTGATGAACAAAAGAAAAAGTTTCTTCAAGAAGGACGCATTTTAAAACAATATGATCATCCAAATATAGTGAAACTGATTGGAATCTGTGTACAAAAGCAACCTATCATGATAGTCATGGAATTAGTGCCTGGTAAAAAAATTAATTTCATAAATACTGCTTCATAAAATACGTATCTATGATTTCAAAACACTATTTAAAAAAATTCTATGCTATTGTTTTATTTTCATTAAGGGGGATCACTTCTCACATATTTAAGGAAAAATTCAAGCACAATTATACAACGAGAACAGCTGCGTATGTGTAAAGATGCAGCTGCAGGAATGCGTTACTTAGAATCTAAATATTGTATTCATAGAGACTTAGCAGCCAGAAATTGCCTCGTTGGTAAGTTAGTTGATGTAGCTATAGAACTTGACAACGTTCTATTTAAAGAGATGTGTTTTCATTCAGCATATTTTCAGGATTCGACTGTATTGTAAAAATCTCAGACTTTGGAATGTCCAGAGAAGAAGAAGAGTATATAGTTTCAGATGGAATGAAACAGATTCCAATTAAATGGACAGCACCCGAGGCGTTAAATTTCGGTACATATCGTATGATATTGTTTACATCATTAAATATTGCAGAATTAACATATGATTTCATTATATTTGTAGGGAAGTACACTTCTCTCTGTGATGTTTGGAGTTACGGAGTGTTGATATGGGAGATATTTTCGAAAGGTGGCAATCCTTACAGTGGAATGTCCAACTCCCATGCACGTGAAAAAATTGATTCAGGTATGTCTCTAGTTCATATAATATTCATCAAAATGAGATAAATGATTCAATTGTAAAATAGTATTAAGGGGCCTTGATACAGACCAGGTCAGTAATACCGATAAATAATTAAAATACTTATCGATACAGTTTTTTTAATTATGTATAATTAATAACTCGATTTTTATCAATGTTGGTATTGCTTGATAATTATAGTAACATTAATAATTTTCATTAATTCTTGAAAATTCGTGAGAGCTGCTCGCTATTTCTTTGGTAAATAGTTTTATACATTGAGGACTACAAAAGAACAAAGTATTGCGTAAATTTGAAACGACCATGCCTAATCCTCTCCTTGTTAGAGGTTATCGATTATGGAGAAGCCGCGCGTCCTATTACCAGATTCAGGCCGAAAGCGAAAGACGAGAAGCAGCAAGCGATAACTAATGAGCAAAGTTATTTTTTTGCATCCTGCCATTTCAAAAATATCCAACGGTATCATTGGGTGTCACTTTCTGTCCGTCGTTTATCGTTCCTGGGCTGAATTTGACAATAGGACCCGCGGTTTCCGCATCATCGAAATCTGCTAAATTAAAAGATTAAAAATCCATGACCTGATCTCAAATTATGAGATGGACAAAGGAACAACCACAATTTTAGATTAGTACTTTTGAATAATTATTCTATGATACTGATCGTAACTCATATTCTGTGGTTCAGCTGAAATTTAATTATATTTTATATTCAGAAGACTTTTTTCGACCAAATAATTACGGATGGAATAAAAATTAAGACTCGTATCTTTTATGCGCTAATATATTATGTACAGTTCGAAGTTTATATTATAATTGCGCTATTTGAATATTCCTTTTCTAAGTCAGATGTCGATGTATTTCATTAATCTATTGTCGACTAGTACCCATTCGTGGTAACAGTTTTTGTCGACCATTCATTTTCATAAAATTCGTTTATACTACTCATGAAAAGATGTTACAATTTTATGTATTAACTTGTACCGTCTTTTTTACCCATTATTAATTAAAATTCGTAATTATTATCTAAATTAATAATAATTGTTTAGTAAGATCTATCTAGAATGCCAATATTAATAGAAATTGGTTTATTTATGAATTATAATTGTAAAAAAATGTTATTAGTAACTACTTCGATTGCGCGATCTGATCGCATGATGCAGCGTTTATGGTTTTGGAAATCTACGATTTGGAAGTAAGATAGGCCAAGGGAAAACAAGGCAGGGGATCGGTCAACAATAAGCAATCGCCGAGCAGAGAACGACCAAGCTCGAGTCGTTTTGGAAGTGTCATAGTCCAGGGGGAATGGGATAGGGGGATCTATGGACGTCAAGCAAAAGCCAGGCAGGGACAAATTTAAACATTGGCGAGATATTGCCATTGGCAACGTGGTAAACCATCAGCTGACAGTAAATTTGGCAACATTGTAACGTAGACTGATTTGTAAAAAAGTTCGTAGATCAGAAAAAAGGCGCAACGGTCGATTCATTCAACTGGATTTTGTATCAAAACCCCTTAAGAGGATGTTGAAATCGATTAGAATGATCGAATCGATTCCATCTGCCATTTGGATAACCAAACCAAAAAAGGCATCAGCATTACCGGTTGTCACAGTGTTCCGTGAAAAAAAAAAAATAGGAAATGTGCTTACGCGTACTCTACAGATAATGCGAAGTACTGCGGTCGGTTATTTACTTTCGTCTATTTTATATTGAAATTCAAATAAGTTTGAGCACATTTTTGACAATCACTCATCAAATATTCTTCTATTACGTTTTTTCCTAGTTCATTACATTATGATATACTTATTATATTAGAAAACTGTCGTGTCATCATCCACGTTGATTCCGAACTGAATTATCCTTCCTTACCTACGGTTGTAGGGCTTTCAGGCGTGAATGACGCGTGTAAAACGAGTTCACGGATTGTATTTATTTTTCCGTTTCAAACTTGTTTGGATAGGGTTCCATTAAAAAGTTAGCAGTTTATTATTGTTTCATTGTGGAAGTACGGTCATCCCAAACGTGTGCAAGTCCCAGATGCTTTTATTCGGGCATACACTTGTCGCTAGTGATAGTTTGAGTGATAACAGAAGCTGTACATCTTAATTTATTTTTTTCGATTTCAGTGTGAATTGGATAATCATTCCATTAATCTATTAGTTACCTATCATTTTGGAGAAAGCATTTTTCATTTTGTCGATGAAAAATTCCCTTTTTTATGAACTCATAAACCCTCTTTCAGCCAGTAACAGTAGGAAGGTTCAGCATCCCCTTAAGTGATCATGTACATTTTTATTTACTTATTCAGTGATCCCTTAGCAAATTGCAGTGCAATTGAAGCGAAATTCCAAAGTTAGTTATTTTATTACAATAACCATTCTCGATTGTAACAAAAGTGATGTATTAACCGAAAAATTATTAGTAAATCGAACTATATTCTTCTTATAGGATACCGTATGCCCGCACCTGATGGGACTCCTGATGAAATGTACAGATTAATGTTACGTTGTTGGGAGTACGAGCCAGAAAAGAGGCCGCACTTTGATCAAATATATACAGTTGTTGAAACATTAGCGCATGCATTATAAATAACTATTGGGCTTGTAATTAGGGTACAACAAAACGCATAATTTGAATTTGTATAATTGATGATAATCAACTCTGTGTAAACATTTCTCAAAATTGTAGCAGAATTATATATTAAATTACACATTTTAATCCGAAATCAATGTATCCTAATTAGATGTAATAACACTTAATCAGAATTGTAAATGTTTTAAAGAAAATTATTTTGTTACAATTATCACAATCAAATTACTTAAAACAGTAAGAATGTTACATGCTTGTACGAAAAAATATTTATATACTTGTATATCCCAAAATAGATATATTAGTACCAGTTATTACTGAATTGTTTTCGTATTTCTCCATGTTAATATTCGTGATAGTAAATATTAATCTCATTATATCATCAGATTCACGAAAGATGACATTGTAATGTAAAATACTAAACTATAAAATAACATTAAAATGTTTGATTTGATAACGACTACTAATTTTACTGTAGTATATCACGTGCTTTGCAATATGCTAAACTGTGCAGGGTTTGTATATGTTTATAGTAATGAAAGTGGTCTGACATTTTTTAAGCTAACTTCACGTTATTGTATTTTAAATGTAAGGGCGGCGCTGCAGATTCGGCATTCGGCAAATTTCTGCTTGATAGTTGTCGATGCCGAATAGTGTGAACCGATCGCTCGAAGCGTATATTCCGAGGGGGTATTGACGCAAAAAATCATGGATTTTAACGCTCGAAATCATGTAGAAATCAGCTGGAAATCGTCGGAAATCACCAAAATACTGTCACAAATTTAACATCACTTGTTACCGAATCGCTCACTTTTCTATCATATGAAATCAGAGGCAATCGGCTCTCACAGAAGGAAATCGTTTTCACTGATTTCCGAGTGAATAGCCCCTTGGTTAATTCGATATTCGTCCTCTCCCGTGACAATCTTTTTATTTCGAATTATTGGCGAACACTTCCCAATCAGTACTCGGCGAATGGCAAAAACATTCGACAATCGCAGAATCCCGAATGTGTGGCTCTGCCTTAAGCAGCAGAAAATGTGGAATAAATTTATTTCTTAAAAGATTTTTTGACTTAGATAACTTTCATTATTACGGGTAAATATTAGGTAATATATGTTTGCAACTTAACAAGGTAAGCGATGAAATATACCCCTAGTATGATGTTGAGAAAATTGTAATCTAGGGTATAAACATATATCATTCCTGCTAAGGATTATTGTTATTTAAAATATATAAAATGTCGAGTTTATTTATAGTTATAAACATTGATTTAACATTTGTATTCTGCATATACATGTAATCCACTTAAAAAGTTGTAAGAGTATTTCCCTCATAAGAGATAGGATTGATGCAAACACATATATTTGAATTTCATAAATAAAGTTTAATAAGTTCGTCACTAACAGCTGAAGGTGTTAGAATACCTAAGTCCGTAAACAAAAGATTGATAAAGTAAGGAGGAGTGTAATCAACTAATGGATGTTCCTTCTTCAAATCTTTTTTCAGTGTACTTGCTGTGTACTGTAACAGTAAATATGAATGGTGTATTAGGTGAATTAAAAATGTCAACACACAAAAATTGGCACTCAATTATTATAATCTAATTCTATATGGTGAAACTAATTTTACACATACCTTAAATTCGTTAGGAAGATCGACTTGATTTAATGGATATATTCTAGCGAATTTAAAACTTTCAGTTAATACGTAGAATGGTTTTTTTACTTCTTTAGCACACATTGCCATTGTATAAGTTCCAACCTATAATGTAGATGAAATAGTAATCAAAACCTTTCAATATCCATTTTATTATTAAAATTTATTTACATATTTCAAAGTAATCTTAATTTGTCTTTTATCAGTGGTGAAATCAATTACATATTACCTTATTAATTACTCCACCGCTTTCTGCTACACCTTCAGCTCCAACCATGACCATATCAACTTGTTCCATAACATAACCCACAGCAGAATCAAGAATTAGTGTACAAGATACCCCGAGTTTAGTTAAGTTTTCAAACATTTCCACCCTACGTTAGAATGTTTTCTCTTATTACGTGTTTCATTCACAAGACATCGATTACTTTACTATAATGGAAAAGACTTTTAACGGCATCATACCCACTGTTATCTGGAGATGAAGTTGTAACGTATACTTCAAAGATTTTATTGCTTACAACAGCTTCTTTCATAGTTTGTAGTACGACTCTTGATTTAGAATGTGTCAAAATTTTCTGTATGAAGAATTAACTATAAAAATATAATTCTTTGAAAATGTCATGAAATAGATTTGTACTTACTGAACCATCTGTAATAAATTGTGCTGCTAACTTAGCAACTTTTCCCCTAGCTGCAACTAATTTTTCATAAAATAACTTTCCTCTATGAATCATGATTCCCTTACATTCTGCAAATGACTACAAATACAAAAATAGTTTTTAATTCTCTAAATGTAAAAAGTTACAGTGTAATACCTTGTTAATGGTATAGTTATTCAGAAATAATATGGAAAACGAATACCATAAATTTATACCTGTGCATATAAACTAAATCCTTCAATGACAACATTTAAAAGAACTTTATTAAATTTCATTACTTACTGGAGTATCCAAAGTTGCCAATGTTATAAATCTCAAAAAAAGTTCACTACCCGAAGCAATAGCAGTCACTGGATGATCAGTTGACCTCATTGAATCCACTGCATTTTGTAAACAATACCGCAACTCTTGTACAGTTTCAGCTATTAATCACATATGAAATTATTACTGTCAATGCTTTATAATATTACCCAATAGGATTACAACTTACATTCTGAATGCTCTAACACTTTTAACAATGTACATATAGCAGCCATTCCTGCAGAGATGTCTTTCTCATCTTTAATGATGCCACTAAAATATTGACAAATCTCTAAAAACAGAAACATAGTTTATTGTTCATGCAATAACTTTTCAAATATGTGAAGTTTACATCATTGCCAAAATTGAATGAATTCTTATTTGACAACTTGATACAATACTTACCATCTCTTTCCATGACCCGCTTTGTACCTCGTTATTTGATAAATTACCTCTATTCTTATTATCAACTACAAAAGAAAAAACAAATCTAACTGATATTTGAAGTTATAAACTTATCATCATTCTATAATCATTTCATGACCGCAGGCAAAGAAACTAGAGGCAAAGAATTCAGAAGTCTCCATAGAAGCCCAGAAGGATACGGATGTTCGATGCTCGATAAATAGTATGTTAGCCAACGGATGCCGGCGCTGTAATCATCTCTCCATCTCTCTTAATCTTATGGCGATATATAGCGATTGCATTCTTTCTTTATCTTACACCCAATACTCGCCTTTCTATATGCGTCTCTCTTCCTCCCGTACGTGAGATATCGTTGGCTAACACGTGCGATCTCTTTTTTACCCCCACTTCTGGTTTGTTAGCCAACTTTTAGAGCATCAAGCGCTAACATAGGATCTGGGCTTCTATGGGACTTCTGAATTCTTTGCTAGAGGTTGCTACAGGTTGAGTCTCCGGGATGGAGATATGACAAGTTAGGACACGTTCGGAGATTACCACTGATTACCACTGAAATATATAATAAACTGGAATAAATGTACACTGAACCAAAGAATTCAGAAGTCTCTATAAAAGCTCAGAACCTGTGTTAACGCTTGATACCCAATAAATAGTCACCAAGTGGAGCGCTAGATGGCAGCACGGACAACCTGAAGCATTACAGAGCGAGGGGAAGAGCACGGCGTGAGTTGCCGTCGGGTGGGCATATATGCTCAGAGATGAGTTGGGCTCACGGGCAGGATCGCGCGATCGCATCGTGTGCTGCCCTCTGGTTTTGTACGTGAGCTTTCACCG